GTATTGGGTTATGGGGGGCTGTGGGGTAGTAGAGGGGCTTATGGGGTGTTGGCGATCTATTGGATAGTGAGGGGCTATGGGGAAATGGGGGTTGTGATGTAGTGGGGGGTTATGGGATATTTGGGGTGGAGGCTGTGGGGTAACGAGTGTCTGTATGGTAATGGTGGGCTATGATGTAATGTGGGGAACTGTGGGGGGCACAGTGCCATGGAGGCCTATGGTATAAATATGGGACACTGGTGCAGTGGGTGCAATACGGGGGTCCTGGTGCAATTGGGGGGGGGTGTCCCTGTGGGAGCCCTTGTACAAGAGAGGATTGACGTAAGCAGGGAGTCATGGTGAAAATGGGGGTCTGGTGCAATGGGGCATCTCTCTGCAATGACGGGGGGTGGACAGTGTGCAACACAGGTCCTGGTGCAGTGGGGGACCCTCCAGCAATGGGAGCCTTGCTGTAACGGGGGGGGCACACTGCTGCAAATTCTCCCCAGCCCCACGTGCCCCCTGCCTCTCCATCTCCCAGCACCCAGAGCTGATTTTTCCCTGTAGGGGAAAAAGTGGGGTCACAGTTCCTGCAGGTGTGCCAGACCCGTGGGGATGTGGCACTAAGGGTCAGTGGGCACGGTGAGGGTGGGCTGCAGGGGCCTTGGGGATCGGAGAGGTCTTTTTCTTCCCTGCAGGAGTAAGGGGTGAGCATTTGCTGTTCGCGGGCAGTTTGTGAAGGCAAATATTGAAATACTGCCTGAGTTTGAGCTGCAGTGCAATTTCTGTCACTAACTGGAGCGCAGAAAAAAGGAGGAAAAACAAAACATGGGGAAATGTTATCTCCTGATGGCTCCTGTGGTTAATGGGGACGTTCAGTAACCATCACAGAGATAACGGCTCTCTGTGCTCAGATGTTGTTTCCCATAACATCCATCTGTACTGGATGCTGTACGTGGGTGCTATGCTCACAGGGAGGAAAGGGTGGGATGGGGTGGTCCCACGTGGCACAGAACACCCTGCTGTGTGCCCTTCAGAAATGGGTGGGAGGGGGGTGAGATGGGGCTGGGGATGGGATGGAGTGGGGATGGAATGGAGGTGGGGTGGGGGTTGGGATGGGGATTGGAATTGGGATGGGGATGGGATGGGGGTTGGATGAGGATGGGGATTGGATGGGATGGGGATGGGATGGGGATGGGGATTGGATGGGAAGGAGGTGGGGTTGGGGTAGGATGGGATTGGAATAGGGATAAGGATGGGACTGGGATGAGAATGGGGATGGGATGGGGTGATGTGGGGGCGGGTATGGGATGAAATAAGGGTGGGGATGAGATGGGATGAAAATGAGGATGGGGTGGGATGGGATGGGAGGGGATGGGAGGGGAATGGGATGGGATGGTTTGAAAATGAGGATGGGATGAAAATGAGGATGGGGGTGGGATGGAAATGAAGATAGAGATGGGGATGGGAAGGAGGTGGGGTGGGGATGGGATGGGATGGAATGGGATTGGGGTGGGAATGGGATGGGGGTATGGATAAGGATGGGATTGGGATGAGAATGGGGATGGGATAGAGTGATGGGGGATAGGAATGGGAATGGAGATAGGATGAAATGAGGATGGGGTGGGGGTGGGACAGCGATGGAGATGGGGATAGGATGGGGTTGGGATGAAATGGGGATGGGGTGGAGTTGGGGGTGGGGATGGATGGGGTCAGATAGGGATGGGGATGAAGTAGAGTCGAACAGAGTGGAGCACAACAGAACGCAGTGCATGCAGCTAGGCCAAAAAGGTGACAGCCTGCAGCGATCTGCCCACAGCCCTGTGCGTGCTGCAGGTAGCAGGAGCAGAGCTGGGAGCAGCAGCCCTGCGCCGTCCCGCTGGACCCCTCGGACAGCTGGAATTATTCATTTCCTTCTTTATCGGCGTCTGGATTTTGTAAATGGACCAAATGTGCGCGTCGTTACTCAGCAACATCAACCGCTTCATTCCTTAACCAGAAGTTGTGCTCAGCACAATCAGTTTATATCAAATGCAGCTTGTAATTACTTAATTCAGCCCGGCTGCTCTTCCTGCACGGCTGTGAGCTCAGAGCCCCCCCGACTCCCGCAGGGGGAGGAAGGGGCCGCGGCCACCTCTGTGCCACTCCGCAGTACGCTGGGACCGAGGAAACAGAGCGGGGACGGAGCAGCCCAAAGGCAGAGCGGTGCGGCACCACCCGCGGCACGACGCTTTGCTTCGGCGCCCCCCAGAGCGAACGCGACCCCGCGCCCCGCCGACCTCCGCCCGCCCGCACCTTCGCTCTCCCGCCACCGGCGGCGCGCCACCCCGTTCCCGCGCTCCCCGCCCCGATTTCCCGGGCTCCGCCCCTTTTTTTCCAGGCCCCGCCCCCTCCGCGCCGTTCCCGCGCTCCCGCCGCTCTCGCGAGGCCGCGCGCGGTGCCATGGCGGGGCCGTGCGGGAGGAACCTGCCGTGGTGCGGGGCGGGCGGTGGGACGGGGAGCGGGGGGGGAAGGAGGCGGTTCGGGCCGCGCCGCTGAGCTCTGCGCCCCGCAGGGTGGAGAAGTACCGTCCGCGGGCGCTGTCGGAGCTGGTGTCGCACCGGGACATCCTCAGCACCAGTGAGTGCCGGGACCCCGCCGAGGGGATGCCCGGAGCCCCCC